TACGAGGGTCCAGGTGCGTCCGATTCGGAGACGTGGAGTGTTCTCTCTTCGAAGCTGCCGGACAGCCTGGAGTTCAGGACGGCAATCGAGAACCTGTGCGAGTGGGGGAATCAGGAGCTCCAGGAGTTCGAGGACCAGCGGCTGAAGTTCATCAAGATCATGATCAAAGAGTTCAAGGCCCCGTCGGACTACCTCCTCGAGACTGTGCCCGAAGGGGAGGAGGGCATGGACACGCAGAGCGAGGCCGGAGAGGCCGGAGCATATGTCGGCCGACAGCGGCCAGGCCGCTAGTCTCTTGAGCCGAGGAGCGATGAGATGTGCGAGGACTTCTGAGGCCGCCAGGGCCAACAGCCTCAATGACGCACGTTTTTGTTTTTGATCAGTGCTGATCGTAGTGACTGTGTGTAGTCACGCGCGGCCCTAGTGAGCCCCTTCTGAAGTATTGGAGGCCCAGCCGGGCCTGGATGTGCACTGTGCGTGTTGAGTCTGTATCGCAGCATTTTGGCTTGCCTCTGGTGAGGAAAGGTGGGGCGGGGGCCCCACTCTCGAAGCCATCTGCAATACCCTTTGCAATCGCCGACTGGTTCCCATAATCCTCGGGTGTTTCTCGGCGCTCTCCGGGCCAGACGAGTGCTTTCCCGGGAGGCCTCAGGACCGGGGCTCCACTGGGGGCCTCTCTGGCCGTACTATTGGGAGCCCTGGGGGCTGGCCCAGGGTCAAACTCACTGGAAAGTCGTACTACTTTCAATACATCGATTTTAATCGTTAGCGTCTAAGATGGCCCACAAGTTCCCCAAGATCATCCCGAGACGGCCCCCCCCTAAAGAGTGGCCTAAGAGGCCACCAAGACGGCTTCAAGGCTGCCCAAAAGAGGAACCCAAACTGCCATTTCGAGCCCTCCACCGCAAGATGGCCCGCACGACCGCCAGCAGGCCCCCGAGAGGCGCCCTAGAGGCCCCGAGAGGCTCCCAAGAAGCCCCCAGGAGGCCCTTAAGTGACGTCAGAAATGCCCCCGAGATGTCTCAAGAAGCCACCAAGAGGACCCCCAAAAGGTCTTCCAAGAGACAATAGGAAACCTATCATATGCATCCTACACGCATCTAGGCCCAATGGCGGGATGGGCCGAAGGCCACAACATAGGCACCGCCCCCTGTTGATTGCCACAAGGGTGCGCGGCGTGCTGGGCTTCAGGATGTTCTAGTCCTTTTCAAAGGTTCCCAGTGGGGTCATCAGGAAAGGCACATAAAACCGCCCGGAAGGACCCAAGCCACTGGCCACCAGGAAGGACACATAAAGTCGCCTAGATCCTCAACACATGCTCCTCAAGACGGCCAAGATGGCCTCCAAGACTGCCAAGATGGCCTCCCAAACTGTCCAAAGACGCCTCCAAGAGGGCCCAAGATGCCCTCCTGCGGGCCCAAGGTCCCCCAGACGACCCAAGAGGGCTCCAGAGGACCTCCAGGAGGCCAAAATCATGTACGTGCTGTAGGTTTGTCAAAGATTTTAGAGTTCCCGCCTTTTGGGGACTCCGACGCTTCAAGACGGCTCCATAGGCACCCAAGATCGCCCTTCGAAGGCCCAAAAGGCACCCAAGAGGTCTTCCGCAAGACGTCCCAAGAGGGCCCCAAGATGTCCCAAGCGGTCCCCAAGACGGCCCCACAGACTTCTGAAACAGCCCTGAACCGCTCAAGGGGGGACCCACGACTGCCGAGAGGCCCCCGAGACGGCCTCCGAAGGCCAAGAGGTGCCATAGAGGCCACCGGAGGCTCCCAAGAGGCCTCAGGAGGCTCCCTAAGAGGCCCCAGGGACCTTAAGAGGTCTGTCAGAGGCCCCCAAGGGGCTCCCAAGAAGCCACCAGGAAACTCGGCGTCGGCCCACAAGGCTCGGCCCAATGGCTTTCGCAATCTCGACTTTTTGTTTTTTGGAGCGTCCAAAAACCCCAAGATGCCCCAAAGGCCAGCCCAAGACGGCTCCATGACTATTAAACATAATACCATGACTGCCCGAAATTGCCCCAAAGTGATCGGAAACCAAGAAAGCCCAGAGAGGTCCCCAAGACAGCCTCCGCAGGTGCCAGAAGGCCCAAAAACCCCTTAAGACGGCCCCAGAGAGCCACCAGATCGCCCAAGAGGGCCCCAGGAGGCCCCCAAGCAGGCTCGAAAGGAGTCAAAAAACAACTCCAAGACGGCCACTCTGCAGTGTTACCCCAATGGTTTCCGCAACAGTTGGGGGAATGCACAATTCACTAGCGTGGCCACTCTTTCGCTCGACATTTCACGACAGAGGTGTTTCCGGAATGCAGGGGATGGCGCTGATTCGCCGCAGTCGTCTTCGATAAGTCCGCTGACCCTTCGGCGAGTGTGAGACGCTGTCGTCGTCTTCGTCGTCGTCGTCGTCGCCAATCCCAGAAATATTGAGAAACGAGCAAACAATCATCCTGGCGAAAGATCCCAGCATATGCAGATGTGAGTACCGTCGTTGTGGGTGTCGCCTTCGGTGGATCTTCTTATGGGGCCAGGAAGCGTGTGAGGGATGTGCCGAACCGGGTGCCGGTACGCCGTGCGGACTGTGCCACCGGGGCCTTGGAGCCCCACATGGGGCCACGAAGCGTGTGAGGGATGTGCCGAATCAGGGGCGGATACGCCATGCGGACTGTGCCACTGGGGCCTTGGGTGGAGCATCTATGGGGCCACGAAACGTGTGGGGTGTGCCAAATCGGGTGCGGGTACGCCATGCGGCCTGTGGGGCCTTTGGTGGGGCCTCCTACGCGGCCACGAAACGTGTGAGGGGTGTGCCGAATCGGGTGCGGGTCCGCCATACGGACTGTGCCACAGGGGCCTTCAATGGAGCTTCTTTGGGGGTACGAAATGTGTAAGGCGTGTGCCGAATTGGGTGTGGGCACGCCATGCGGACAATGTCACAGGTGCCTTCGGCTGAGCTTCTATTGGGCCGCAAAGCGTGTGAGGGGTGTGCCGAATCGGGTGCGGGTCCGCCATACGGACTGTGCCACTGGGGTCTTCGGTGGACCCCCCCAAGGGGCCACACAACGTGATGGGGGCGTGCCGAGTCGGGTGCAGGTACGCCTTGCGGACTGTGCCACTGGGGCCTTCGGTGGAGCATCTATGGGGCCACGAAGCGTGCGAGGGGCGTGCCACGAAGCGTGTGAGGGGTGTTCCGACTCGGGGGCGGGTACGCTATGCGGACTGTGCCACTTCATTGGAGCTATTTTCCAGGGCCACGAAACGTGTGAGTGGTGTGCCAAAACCGGGTGCGGGTACGCCGTGCGGGCTGTACCACTGGGTCCTTCATTGGAGTTTTTTTGGGCCTCGAAACGCGTGAGGGGGTGTGCCAAAACCAGCTGCGGGTACGCTATGCGGCACGTGGCACTGCAGCCTTTTGTGGAGCTTTCATGGGGCCACGAAACGCATGAGGGGTGTACCGACATCGATGACGATGAAGGTGACGACGATGATGATGACGATACTGATGGTGACGATGCTGATTCTGATGGTGGTTAGGCTAGTGATGATGATGATGATGATGATGATGATGATGATGATGATGATGATGATGATGATGGTGATGACGCTGACGTTGTTGCTGCTAACGATGAAGGTGATGATGATGGTGTTGATGCTGCTAAGGATGATGCTACTGATAGGGGGATGATGCTGATGGTGCTAGTTATGCTGCTAATGATAATGCGGATGATGATGATGCTGATGCAGCTGCTACTGCTGATGCTTCTGCTGATGATGATGCTGATGATGATGACAAAGAGGAGGACAACCCCGATTCTGCTGATGATGATACTGCTGCTGATGATGATGATGCTGATGATGGTGATGGATGGTGATGGTGATGCTGATGATGATGGATGATGATGGTGATGATGACGATGATGATTCTCCAAATCGCGCGCGAACGGGCGGTCTCTGTGCGGGCGCGCGGCGCGTGCGGGCGAGCAGCTCCGAAAGCGCCCGGGGCCGACGCGCGCGCGAACCGAGCGGCACCGCTCGGGCGGACTAGGTCACGCCTGGTCGCCCGAGAGGGCGAACTCGCCGATCCGAGGCTCCAAGACCTTGCGAAGTGACAAAGCCTTGGTGGGGGCCCCTACTAGGACGGACCACTCGAAGGGATTCGCATCCCAATAGGTAGCGACAAGGCGGTCGCTGGCAGTAGCGAAGAAATCTACTTGGGTACGCGCGGCCTCGGGGAGGGCACCCAGGTCGTTGGAGGCGGCGGTGGCCGAGCCTCTCAAACAAGAGGGTGACGGAGCGCCGCCAGCAGACCGTTGGGAGACAGGCGCGCCCGAGACCCTCAGCATATGATTCCACCGAGTACGGAAGCCGCTATGCCCAAACGGGGCGAGCGGATCGGTAGGGTTCGAACTACCGAACACCTTTTCCCAAATCCGGACAGCCGAACTGTCCGAACAACGCGCGTGCTCGTGCCGGACCCGACGGTGAGCAGGCGCGGCAATGGAGAAGATGGCGGCGCCGGACGCGCATCCACCACCTCTCTCATCCGCGTCTGGGCGGTCGCTCGGCAGCGATAGGTCACAACGGCGCACGGACAATAATTCCCTTGGCTTCAGGGATATCGTGAACCCCGTGAGCAGCAGGGCTGCCGTAAACCGTAAGCGGCCAATCCCATGAGCATGAGCCTACCATCGCACGCAAAACGGCGCGGGGCAGGCGCGTCGAAGCTTCCACCTCGGAGTGGAGACCGTGCCCGCCGACGGCGAGAAGGACTTCACTGGGGCAGCCCATGCCAAACGAAGAAGCCGACCTGGAGGTGGCGTCGCTGCGCGCCGCAGGCGGAATCGCTGCCGGAGTGGACGCTGCCGGGGGAAGCCTCGACCTCCGAGTGGGCGAGTGCCCCGAGCCCCCCCCCCGCCCCCGGCGGCGCGCTCCTCCCCCTGCGGGGCCGTGGCAGCATCGCTGGAGAGGATCGTGCCAGCCGGAGGGACGGGAGCGGGCTCCTCGGCCGAGGAAGGCCCGTCCGAGGTAGCCCCAGCGCAGCGCTGGCGCTCGCCTGAGAGCCGGGCAATCGCCCGAGCCGAGTCGGCGGCCGCGCGGAGGGCAGCCGCCCTCTCGCCTGTCGCAGGCCCCGCCTCGGCATCGAGCCAGTGCTGGTTCAGGAGCGCGGCGGCATCCCGCGCCCTCGCAGCGCTGACCACGGCGATTGTGCTGACGGCCTCGTCAGCGGCGGAGCGCGCAGCCGCCAAGAGGCTCGGGCCGGCCTCGGCCTCTGCGCGGGCAGCCGTGTCCAAACGCGAGCGACGCCTGGCTTGGAGACGGATCCGACTGGTGCGCGCGACCCGCTTCCCTGCCGCTCGAGCGTGATCGGACGGCACGCCACGCTGCCAAGAGGGATGAACCACGCTGCCCGGGCCGTAAGCTGCAGGATCAGCGGCGTCCCCGCTGCCGGCCAGAACGGGAGCCTCGGTGGGAGCTGGGTCGGACCTGGGGAGAGGCGCGTGCAAATCCAGGAGCGAGCGACCGCGCGCTCGTCGAAGGCTCGAGACCCCGCCCCGCCATTCCAGCGCGCCTCGCACGGAATCTGGCAGCGGGCCGGGTCGGGACCCCGGCGAGGGAGTACCCGACGCAGCCGGAGGCGCGCCGCAGCTGACGACGGGCGCGGCCGCGGGTGTGGCAGCGGTACGCCGCGAGGCACTGCCGACGGGGCCGCGCAGCGCGGCCTCGGGATCGAGGCCGATCGGCTTCGCGCCCGAACCCTCGGAGCGCCGCCGGCGAGGGCGGCTGAGATCTGCCCGCGACTTCCACGTAGCGTTTTCGGCGGTGCGCGCCGAACCCTGCGTAGTCGAACCAGCCTGGCGGGGCTGGCCCGGGCCAACCGAACGATGCGCACGAGTGGGTGCCTGGCCAAGGCCCTCGAGCGAGGGCCCGGGCGGCGCGGCGGCGACCGCAAGGGCCTTGGGGGGCGGCGCCTCGGCCGCAAGGGCCTTGGGGGGCGGCGCCGCGGCCGACTGACGGGACTTGGCAAGGGCCTCGGGCCCCGACCCCTGCCGCAGACTGCGAGAGCGCGGCTGAGCACTCGCCCTCGCGGGCGAAGGGGCAGAGCTCGAGAACGGGTCGGACCGCACCGAACCGATGCGGAGAGGCACCGCGCTCGGTCGCAGGAGGCCCGTCGACGGCACAGAGGGGGGGCCCGGGTGCGGGAGCCGCGCCGCGGGCGGTGCGCGGCTGCAGGCGCGGGAGGGCACGGGGACGGGACCGCCTCCCGCATCTCGCGCGAGCGGCGGTCTCGCCGCAAAACGGGCCGCGCCCTCGGGCGGCGCCGCGGTGGCCGACACGCCCCGGAGCGGCACGGCAGTAGGGCGGCTCTTGGGGCTGATGACCTGCGACAGCTCGGAAGCGATCGGGGACGCAGCGCTCGCGGCGGCCTCGGACGGGCCCCGAACCGAAGTGGGGGCGGCCCTGGGCGCCTCGGCTCCACGAGCGCGCCTGGCTTGGCGCGCCGCACTGCGGCCTGGATGAGTCGCCGCGCTCGTCGCGAGGGTGGCAGCGCGGGGCGAGCGGCCCTGACCGAAACGCGTCGCCTCGCGGGGCGCTTCCTGCCTGCGCTAGCGGCCGCGGCTCGCGCCCTCCCCTGCTGCGCTGCTCGCGACCGCCGGGGTCGCGCCGGAGGAGCGCGAGAATGCGAACGCGTGGCGTCCTGAGCTCCCAGAGTGGGAGAATGCCTGAGCTGCGCGGCCCGCGCCGCGGAGGCGCCTTCCACCGAGCGGTCGCCTCGCGGCGCACCTCGGGAAGCGATGCGGTGTGCTGATCGGTGCGGTGGCGATGCGCCGGCCGTCTGAAAGCCGCCTGGGCGGCCCCCCGATCGGCATCCCCGCGCAACTCTAGCAGCTGAAAGGCGGCCTCGCGGGCTCCACTCGTCCGCGCGGCAAGCGCGGACCCATGCCCAGAGCCAGAGCAAACGGCCGCCTTGGGCACGGCGGGGGCCTCGGGGCTGCTGTCGAGGCCCCGGGAAACGCCGGGGAAGTCGCCGGGGGGGGGCGGCCTGCTTCCGGCGAGCCGTCACGGCGAGCGAAACCGCAGAGCTGGTGGCTTCGCCAGCTGCGGCTCTCGCATCCCCGGTGGGCAGGAAAGCGACAGGGTTTTCCCTCGCCGTCCGCGCGGACGGGCGCCGAGGGTGCGGGGCCCGTAATGTGCCCTGCAGCGGCTCACAACGGGCCCTCCAGCGGCTCACAACGGGCGTTGCGAGGACCTGCGCGCGAACGCGGCGAAGCCTCGTAGAGGGCCGGCTCCGCGGCGCTAGCGGCGGCGCGATGGGCGCCGTCAGCGTGAGCCGCCCTGCCCGCTGAACGGGGGAAGGGCCGGGGTGGTGGCGGGCAGGTGGGGTACGGTGAGAGGGGGTCGACTTGGGCGACGATGTCAAATCGCGCGTAATCGCCAGCCTCCACATCGTCCAGCCACATAGGAGTGACGCGCGAAGGGGGGCTCACGGGCCTGCCGCGCGTGGGTTCGTCTGCGCCCGAGTGCAGTAGCCCCGAGCGCCACCTTGGAGTCCAGGAGGACCAGGACACGGGAATAGTTGCTTTGCCGCGGCGCGCGAAACTCCCACTTGTAGGCTAGCCGGTAGCGGGGGGCTTCCGAGAGCTCAATGATCCACGGAGGCGCGACAGGGGGCTCGAGGGAAGGGCGCCCCAGGTCGCGCAGCAACTCGGTGAGCTCTCGGCCTAAAAGGACTCTTCGGCTGAGAACTCGATGCGCATGGCGGTCGGGAAGCGCCGTGTGCCAACCACCGTGCTCCGAGCGCCGCCAGAGCTCCTGCGACAAGGCAGTGCCCGCAGGAGAGCGGACGACCCCTCCGTGGCTGAGGGGCGCGTCCGTGCGAGCACTTCGGCGCGAGGAGCGGCTCGAAGGTCGGGCGATAGCAGTGAATGCAAGGAAGGTGCACACGAGCAGTTCGCCCCGCACTGCGATCGGAATCTCGTGCTCGTGCCCGTCTTCCTCCGAAGGAGACGATCATGAGATGTAGGTGTGAGTGAAGAGTTACAACAGGGGCCGTCGGAACAGGGAGAGTTGCACCCAACGCCCGGTCAAGTGCGCCAAAACGGCGCGGGTCGAGAAGCCGAGGTACACCTCTGGATAAGCGTGAGACTGCAGAGGGCGACGGTCCGCACCAGGGGAACGCAAACCACGCCAATCCTGCCCTCGATCTCGGCCCCCACGACGACCTTGTGAGTCGCCGAACGGGTCCGCTTCCCGAGATGCTGGATGAGACCCGCACGGGGATACCCGCGATCGCAAGCGGCGAACACCTCGCGATCACGACGGGAGGGGTCGTTAGGACGAGGTGCGGGCCCTGACCAAGAAAACTTCTGGAAGCCCGCATGGTCGTCGATGTTCAACATCTCGACGAAGTGGCCTCGGGGGAACGGAGCACGATGGATCGCTTGCTCCTGCGGGCGGCGGGCTCCGAAGCTCTTCAGCACCCCTTCGTGGGCCGCGTTGGCGATCTCCACGGCCATGTTGTCGCCCATGACAAGAGCGTTCAGACGCGGTGAAACATCGAGCCTCGCCAGCTCGGGACGCCACGCGCGAAAGGCCTTACATCGGTCGCCAAAGAGGCGAACGCGCAGGGCATTCCGCTTGGCGCGGGCCAGAGGCACCTTGAATGTGTTGTAGAACTTGCGCAGGTCGTCGCATGACACAGCCAGTCGCTCGCCTGGGCGAAGCCCGCGCGGCAGAGCAAAAAGCCCTGGCCAAGGCGCTGTGTACTTGAGGAGATGCTCTGACAGCGACTTTTCACCACCGTGGGATTGAGGATAAACCGATCGAAACCGCGGGGGCCCGGATAGCACCGCAGGCCTCGCCCCGAGCGAGGTCCGAGGAGGGCGTCAGGTACAGGGCGCCGCAGGAGTCCCACTTCCGAAGAAGAAGCTGCCACAGGTCGGCACGCTCCATGTGGGCGCGTGCTCCCCTCTGGCGCGGGGGCCAGTCTGTCGACGGGAGGCGCGTGGCCTCGGGGTCGTGAAAGGCTTCGCAGACCCTTGCGTCGGACAGGTACGGTGTGGGATTAACGGATGGCGAGTAATCCCACTTGATGCGCGAGGCCCTGATCTTAAGATCGAAAGGCTCAGACTGGGTGGAGTCACGGCCTGCCGCGTCGGCCAACGAACCAGGCATGGGGAAAGCGCTGGTCGGGCCAGCCCGCATGGGGGCGGGAACGGCGGGGGAGGAAGAGAAGGAAACCTCCATAGCTACGACATGGGTCGCCAGGTCCTGGAGCGAGACTTTCGTGGAATCGATCTTTGCAAAAACGCGACCCAAGTCGCTCTTGTCACCGCGGGCAAGGCGAACTGCGATCCGGCACAAACGCTCGATGCGATTGCGCATGTCCTCCTGGCAGGACGTAGCCGTCGCGCATGCTCGAGCTTCGGTGGAAGCGAAGCTTGGCTTACCGAGAATCAGCTAAGTCAGGGCAACCATAGCATGTTGCGCCAGAGTGTGTGCAGTGCGCCTCGCGCGCCAGCGCTCCCGCGCGCGACCCGACGACGTAACTTCGGGCGGCGGCAGAAGGTCAGGAGGGGGAGGGCGCGGCCAGGGAGCGCGGCAATACTCGCAAGAAGGGCGACTGTCCCGAATCGATGCGCGCAAAGAGGATCGGGAGAAGACGAGGGGGCAACGAACGCTCATTCCAACCTGAGGCAGCGCGGCTGTCCAGTGGGTGACATCGATGCCCGCGCCCGGAAACGGGCGCAGCAAGGCGGGCAGGTCCGCGACGAATGGCGCGGCCCTGGCAGGGAAAGCTGTAGAAACTGGAGTCGAGCGCCGCCTTAAGCTGGAACTTGTGAACCTTCCGCAGGCGAAGCGAAACGGGAACGACCCGAAGGCTGCCGGTATGGCAAGGCTCGCTCAGAGTCCAAAGGGACGTCGCCGAGACTGGAGGGGCCAGAATGGACATCAGATGATGGCGGACCATGGGCGAAACAGCCTGGAGCGCGCTGGCAGAACGAGCTTCCCCCCTGCGGTGGCGCAGCCCCCTCGCTGGAGAAGCGCATTCTCACCTTCGCGACCCCGCTTGGTCCGCGCCTGCCTGGCGGCCGCCGCAGGCGAAGCGACGGAGCTGCAGGGGCCAAAATGGCCGGGTGGAGGGCAGGATGCTCGAGTCAACGAACCCAAATCGCGTCGGCGGAACGCACTTCCCCCTGGGGCGGCGGCGGCGTACCCCCCTCGCTGGTGACGCTGTTTTCAACCTTCGCTACCGCGATCGGTCCCAGCGCGCCCTGCAGCTGCGGCTTCAGTTTAAGGAACTGCAGGATGAGGCAACGCGCCTCGCGAGCCGCCCTCGAGAGGGCGGGGCGGCGCCCTCAAGGCGGCTTGGCGGCCGCCTTGACCCGCGGGGGCGTCTTGGTAGCAGCGGCCCGCTCGGGGTCGAGGCGCGATCGGAACTGCGTGAGACGACGGGGAGTGACAATCGCGCTGGCGGAACGAACTTCTCCCTGCGGCGCCGCGGCGGCCTCGCTGTAGACGCAGCGAGCAGCGCCGAAGGGGCTGGCGCGGCCCGTTCTTGGGCCCGCGCTGGAAGCGCGGAGGCGCGCGCCAGAATGCCCAACTGAGGGGGCAGATGTCGCCGTCTCCCCGGCAGAACCACGCGCCGCCTGATCGGGCGCAGCTGGAGGCGGACCTCCCGCCGCGCACTCGTCTCGAAGCGGGCTGCTCGAGTGAGAGCGAGCGCGAATCGAGCCGGCGGCGAAGGCCGCGGCAGACGGCTCCGGGCTAGCCGGGGGCGCGGTAGCCGCCCTGTCGGCAGCGCCAGCCAACGGCGAGCGAACCCAGGGCAACCGCGGCGCGGCGCGAGAGCTCAACCGAACCCTACTGCTCGCAGGCGGCTCTGCGCTTGCAGCCGGGAGCCCTGGAACGGCGACGGGGCCCTGCCAGGAGCGACTGCGGGTGCAATATTCGCAGAGGACATGCTCGAAGCGGCCCCCCTCTCCCCGTCGCCAAGCGCGGCGGCGAGGGCGCTCGCGAGAGAGACCCGGCGGGGCGCCCCAAAGAAAGCCGCCCTAGATGCAGTGGCGTCGGCGGCTGGCTTCGTCGTGGCCGCCGCCGCCTCGTGGCGCGGCGGGGCGCCCAGGGGCGTGGATTAGCTCCCTCCTAACCGGAGAGACTGAGAGATGTCGCGGGGTCTCGAACGGGCGGCGCCGCTCGCAGCCGGCTCGTCTGGAGGCGGCCGCGGCGGCAGCGAGGCGCGAAAGGGCCGCGGGCGGCGCGCGATCACCAGCCTCCAAACCACCGAGACCTGGAGGCGGCCCCACCTGCCTGGCGGCAAGAGGAGGCAGCGCGTGAACGGCGCAGAAAGGCAACGTCCCGCACATCGCGCGTGGCGGGGCCGTAGCGGCGTCAGCGCACAAGCCCGCGCCAGCAGACAAGCGCGCGGAAGCTGGGTCCTGAGGCGGGACCCCCCACCAGGCCGTAGTGGATGACAGGCGCACCCAGCGTGGGAGGGCCGCCAACCGCGGAGCTGCCAGTGGCGCCGTAGAAAGACAGACCGCGTGAAGGCGCAGTGCCAATTCCCATCGCACAATCGCCGAGCGCAGGAAGGCACCCTGGGTGCGGAGGCGGGGCCCGCAGGAGTGGGTGCGACGCGGGCGCGGGATGGCCGACAGCGGCGCGCGGTCGCCCGCTTCCAGACCAGCGAGACTCAGAGGCGGTCCCACCTGCCTGACGATTGGAGAAGGCAGCGCGCAGGCGGAATCAAAAGGCAACGACCCGCAAGGTCGCGGCGGAGCCGCAACGGCGACACCACGCACGCCCGCGTCATCAGACGGGCGCTCGGAGGTCGGGCCCTGAGGTGGGACCCCCTCCCAGGAAGTAGCGTTAAGTCACTGTGGAAGCACGAGGTTGGGAGTAGGAACGAGGGAGATGTAAGTGGAGTCCTCCTGCTCCTCCCCACTCCAAGAAATCGTGTTTCGTGTTCCTCGAGGTCCCAAAACAATGCCTGCGGGTTGTCTGCGCGCGCCGCCGGCTGTGTCGTCTCCGCAAGTCGAGCCGCCAGTGATGCCCCATTCTGGTGCCTCGGCCTGTCTGTCAGCGGTTGTGTCCTCTCCGCCATGTCTCTCGCCGGAGCCGCGCCATCGTCCTCCTCGTCCACGAATGAAAGCCTCGAGCTCCGCCGCCTCGAGGGCGACGGGGGAGAGGGCAAGAGAAGGAGGAGAGTTTTGCAGCGGTGAGAGAGAGAGAGAGAGAGAGAGGCAGGCGCCATCGGCCGCCAGACCTGGACCTGTGGGCACGGAAGCCAGCGCCGCTCGGACGAGCGACGGGCCTCCCGTGGAGGATCGCAGAAACGCGGGGCGCACCGCACCGCCCAACGAACGGGCAATCCCGCCTGCCCCGCGAGGTGCAAGGGGCAGCGGGCAGAGCCCGAAGAGCAGGGCTCGGAAAGCCAAGTTCTCAGGCAAGCGCCGCCGCG